TACTGAAATTTCACCTCAGGCAATAAGAAACAAAATATTTACATCATTATTTTTAAGCCTTCAACACTTGTGATATTTGGATAACATTAAAATAATAATTCCCTTTTCCTTTCTAGACAAGGAAATTACTGATCTTCTAATTGGTCATATTTAAATAGCTATAGCTTTGAGAGAATATTTCTACATTACTAACTGAAGCTCCCTGCTCATTTTCACTTAGGGGGAGACAGTTTATCAAAAAGACCCTACCCAGTGGAAGGAGCAGGTGGTCTGCACTCAGTTGTCACCAGTGTATGGACAGGGCTAAGCAGTTCCTGTTTTTAGGCAGGGAATGTTCTGCTGGGAAAACCAGCTGGTGTCTTAAGTTCCCTTGGGTCTCAGTGAGATGCTTAAGAGTATCTGAGAACTAGCAAGAGGCTCCTGGCTTGGCAAGAGATGTTTTTTCATTGAGTTTATGTTAAAATTCGACTGCATAGAAAAAACAGGGGTTTTCTTTTATTCTTCTCCTCAATTGCTAACAAATAATCACGTTTATCTTGATAATTTTCTTTGATTCTATATTTACTTGGTCCAATCATTGTAATTATTAATTTTACTTTGATTTAAGGAAACTGTATTAAGTTTTACTGAATTAATCAGACCTTAGAATTTATGGTAATTTTTAAGAAAACTAGTTTGCTTTTCAGTATCCATAAGTTAGCTAAATAAAGTAGTAGCATAAAAATTAGCACCCTCCTAATGATTAAATATACATTTACATACTGTAAACTAACATGCTAACCATAAAGTATACTAAAATCTTTCTTTCTGTAGAAATATTTTGTGAGCCTAATTATTATTGTTGAATATTGTTTTAGTCAGTTATTTTACTGCTGTGACTAAAAGATCTGACCAGAATAACTGGAGAGGAGGAAAGTTTACTTAGGGGCTCTCAGTTTCAGAGATCTCAGTCCATAGACAGCTGGCTCCATTCTTCCTCGGGGCTTAAGGTGAGGCAGGACGTCATGGTGGAAGATTATATGGAGGGAAGCAGCTCGCATGATGATCATAAGGCAGAGAGAGACTCTACTTAAAAGATATAAAATATATACCCCAGAGTCACGACAATAACCTACCTCCTCAAGCCACACTCTACCTGCCTTTAGTCACCACTCAGTGAATCCCATCAGGGGATTAATTCACTGTTTGGGTTAGGGCTCTCATAACCCAATAATTTCTCCTCTGAACTTTCTTGTTATCTCACACATGAGCTTTGAGGGACACCTCACTTCCAAACCAGAACAAATATACATAACTAAAAAGAAAAAAAACGTACATGTAAAATGCTATAAAATTCAGGCATTTCAATAATTCAATTGCCTCATTCTAACCTTTCCCAATAGATAGGCACCAGGTCGTTTAACCCTTCTAAAAACAAAGAAATGAATTAAAATTATAGAACTCTAAATTTTTGAAAAAAAAATGAGAATTGAATAATAGGTCTAAATAAAAGAACCCATCAGAAATACATAGGTAGCCCTGTGGGGCTCAGTGGGAGAACACTTGACTCAGTTGTCTTTCATGCATGAGGTCCTGGGTTAGATCCCCAGCACTACTAAAAAAGCAGGGGTGGAGAATGGGGTTGGAGGGGAGGGTGGAGAAAGAAATACAGATGTAATTTAATTAAAGTGTGTTTTCAAATGATAACCACCTAGTAGGGATATATTTCTGAAATTACAAAAAAATTAAGGAAAACACAAAATGAGAGCTCAAAAAACCTTGTTAAGAAAAATGGAATATGTTCTTAAATATAAAACATAAATATATTACCTGTTTTATTCTTTTAGATTATGTTCATAACATTTATCTAATTATGGTACATTTAGAAAATTGGAGGGTATTTAAAAATCATTGTTATTATTCTTAATTGCTTTAAATCAACACTGAACCCAAAATAGTCATAGATAAAATCTAATTTTATAGAAAAATCTTGAATACAGTTTCAATTGAGCAACAAACCATCAATAATTATATATTTTGACTGACGGACGTCTTATCTGGAGTCATATTTTTAATCTCATCCAAAGATAAGTTTGTGGTCTACCTTTTTCAATCAGATTTGCCTTTATGAATTTTTCCCCTTGGAGGACAAAATTTTATAAGACTCTGCCTCTTTATGTTTACTGCAAATCTACTCTAATTTAAAAATGAGCAATCCTTCCTTTAAAGCAAAAGATTATAGATGGTTCTTTTATCTACACTGTTATCTCAGAAGAGTAAATACTGAAAAATTCTAAAGGCAAAGGCCTAACAGAAATACCTAACAGAAAGCCCCTCTTTTCTCAAAGACTACCTTGTTTGAAGATTAAGAAGCATGTAACCCACCCAGGATTGTTTTGTGAAATAGAAGGGAGATCAGTGGAATAGATTAAGAAGGAAAGGAAGGAGGGACAGAAAGGAAAAGGGAAGAAGGATGGAATGAAATTGACCAAATTATGCTGTGTACATATGTGAATATACCACAGTGAATTTCACCTTCATTTATATATAAAGCACCATTTTTTTTCAAAAACTATAAATAAATAGAAGGAAGACAAGTGGAGTAGAGGAAGAGACTCAGGGGAGAGAAGAGGAGCGGGAAAGGGGAAGTACTAGGGACTGAAGTGGAGCAAATCATATTCCAGGCATGTATGATTATGACAAAATGAACTACAATATTATATAGAACTATAATAGACTAATAAAAAAATTTTACAGTTTGCTCTCCTGGAACATCTTCTTCCATTCAATAATGAGATCTTCTTACATATTTACTAAAGTTCCATAATGCAATAGGCAGTAAAAGAAAGTGTAATAAGCAGACTTGGCCTTTGAATAAAAAGATAAACAGGCAAACATATTTAATACATAATATACTATGTATGTATTTCTACATATATTTATCAGCCTTGATATTAATATGAGATTACATGGATAATTTTCAATGCGCAATTAGTCAAAAATTTAGAAAACTTACAATGACTTTATAGGGTGGCAGTCTATATGAAAGGCACTCAAAACTTTATACTTAGGAACTTCAAAAAGAAAGGTGTAAGCTCTAATCATTTATAGTCTTACAGACTTTGAAATATCAAAAAAGATGCTTTCTTAAGTTATGCTTTTTGTGGAAGAATATTACCTCTGAAATCAGAAAACAATTATTTAATCAGCAGCTGTGCTACTCCTGGACATGCAAATCATAGGATAAGGAGGATGACATAGCTTCATGTAAAGCATGTTATGAGTTTTTGTTTTGAAATATAAACTATCTTTTAAAACTTTTTGAGAAGTTTAGACACTAGGAAATTTCTTTTAGTATTTAACTTAAAAGCCTCAGAAATCTCTATTCTTACTCTAAAACGCATTTCTGTGATTTAAACATGCTTCACTTTCTATTTTGAGGATGCATTAAAATTGAATATCCCCTACCAGATGTGTTGCTGGCATAATCACATCTGTAGAATCAGCAGGATATAATAATCCTGAATCAGACCCCACTCTACATAGATTTAGTATAATCCATTAATGATTAAATGGATGTTTGAATAATTAGAATAATTTATTATTTTCAATCTCATACCAAATTAATTACAAGTATACTAAAGAATTAAAAGAATTAAATTATGAACAAATAGAAGATAGTACAATTGCTTTTATGATAAAAAGAAAATTGCAATTTAAAAGTGAAGAAGTCACAAAGAAAAAAATAATAGATTTCACTTAAAAAAACTTTCTAGATAAAACACATCATACACTAAAAAATCACCAATTAAACAATGGAAAAAAACTTTCTAGATAAAACACATCATACACTAAAAATCATCAATTAAACAATGGATTATTATCCCTAATATTAGAAAATTATTTCAGATTAGAAAAACAAACACTCTAATGGAAAATTGAGCAAAGAACACAAATAGACAACCAACTAAAGATGGAGTGGATATTGCCAGAAAAGTGTGAAAATATAACCAACTTCACTAAAAAATTACTATTTAATGTATCGAAGTAGCACATTTTAGAAGTTAGTAATATTAAATTATTGTTAGTGTGATAAAATAGGCCCCTAATACATTACTGGTGTGAAATTATGATACTTGGGTTTCTCCAATTTATAGGGGGAAAAAATCATACTTCTTAATCAAGTTCCTCAGAAACATTCATACATTTTTTCCTAGTGATCCCCACTCTTGGAATCTATCTAAAGAAATACCAAGATTCATGCATAAGAAAATCAAAGAGGGTTATTTATAATTTTGAAGGCAAATTAAATCTTCCATAATAGAAATGATTAAATGAATTCATTTATACCTCTTTGATGCAGTCATTAAAAATCTTATTTTTAAAGTATATATAATTTTCAATGGGGAAAAAACAGTCTCCAAAACTCCAAAACTTTATTGCTCTTTGTACATTATAATTTTGTAATTATTATTATAATTTTATAAGTATCCATACATTATTATTATATTGACTTTTTTGTTGAGTATATGTATTTCCTATTGGCAGAAAGATATAATATTACCAGTTATCACTGAGTGGTGGTAGTATGGAACATTTATTCTTAATATCATCCATACTTTATGTAAGGATGTGAGTTATTTTAATCAGAAAAAATATTCCTTTAAAGTTGAATTTTATATTTTGTTTCCAGTATTTATCAACACTAGGAGGTATGCCTATAAACACATAAGTTTTAACTCTGGCCAATTTGTTGTAGAGAATGATAATGCACAGAGTAAACCTTGTCACTATTGAAGCACAGACAGTACTGTGTGCCCTGCTTTGTGTTCAGCAGCTATTTTCACTGAGTATCTGCTTCTTGTGAGGAGAGGAAGGAGGAGCTTTTAGGAAGTAAGCAAAATAAAACTGCATTACATGGCTCAAATGAAAGGCCCTTAAAGCACATGTGTCCAAACACAGAAAATATGCATCATTTATAAGGACCAATTTACTCAATGATAGTTTATTTCATTCTCTAGAGTGTGGACTTCACTAACAGGGAACATTCAAGGCATACATCCATTAACAAACTGGAATATGAAAACGAAAGGCTTCGAAGTGATCTTGCAAAACTTCAAATCAATGGAAAATCAGCATGGTCTAATCAAAATACCTATGAAGAAACAGGAAGATACGCCTATCAAAACCAAATAAAAATGGAAAAAAATGAAGATAGGTATGCCAGCTCCATTATACAAGGACATAAGTTTAAAACATTGACATTTATCTTTAATTCATTTTAGGTGTTTAGTCATTATTGCTTCTCGGTCTTTGGGCTAAGATAAAGAAAAGTTGTTAGCTGTTATTACTGATATTATTACTAACAAAATTGTATTTATAATAATAGTAGTGCTTCTCTAACAACACACAGGACCTACACTGTATGTTTTGGTGAATAAACTAATAGCCGGATCTGTTATTTCCTCAAATATACTCCTGTGGGGGATAGGTGTGCTTAGCTCATGTTGTTAACTAAGCCTATCTACAGGAGATAAATTCAAAAGTTAATGGGACATTTAAAAAAAACAAAGTCTGTTCAAGATTGTCATGGGTGTAGCACAGTTCTCTCTTTTCACCATGCCAGCCCTATTTACGTATTAGAAGGAAAGACATTTGTCTGCTACATGAAATAAAACTGTTCAAAAGTGCCAAATTAATAACCCTCTTCTGGTGATGAAGATTGACCACTATCCCAAAAGAGTTCTCAGTGGTGGGGTGCTGTGGTGGCAAGGTGGCAGTAGCAGTATAAAAGCAGTAGAGAGAGGATGGAAGAGGCCACTCACTGGCCACAGCCATAGACCACTTCTCTGATGAGAACTGCTCACGTGTATTACCATACTAATGTGTATTACCAAGCATTACCTGAAAACCCATCCAAAGGCCCTAATCTTGATTTGGGTACAAGAATATATTTTCTAATATTAAATAAACACTTTTCAAAGTGCTACCCTACTTTTAGTTCTCTGCAGGTCAAATGATGACTCCCAGGTAAGAGAGACAGCCCCTAAAAATACCATAAAGGGTCTTCCTGTGTGACCACCAGTCACCTGTCTAGTACTGATCACCCAGTGGGTGCAGCACGCTGCTGCCTATAGATTCTTGTGGAAATAACTTTGAAAGCCTTAGATAAGGGGTCCAGGTGTTGTTATTTAGAAAAAAAGACAGTTACTGTGCCTTTTATTATTTCTAAAAAGTACTTTTCTTGTTTCAGTACCCCTTTCTTTCTCTTTGTCAGACAGTACAGAATGTGTTAAAAGTGCCTAACAAAAACAAGACAGTAGGGGACAGAGAAAGTAACATAAGAGGTAAAATGCTCAGCAGGAGATTATCTTAATAAGCAGTTTGGACGACTGTTCCTGCTGTAAAGCCTTGTGTCCTGCCAGTTTCATTTGTTGAAAGTTTCATTAAATTTGTTTTAATGCCTCATCTGATTTCAGTGTTCTCCAGTGACCTCGTTTTTAAAAGAAACAGCATTTCAAATGTTCTGAATAAATTATTACATGTAGAACCCAGTATGGGGAAGAGTTGTTGAGATGCAAGGACACTGTGAACTCACCAGTGGAGAACTGTAAAGCAGAAACCTCTGTATTAATTTTAGCAAGTAAAAAATGAAATAATTCTTTTCCTCAAAACACAGCTTGGTGAAGTCAGGTAGTCAATGCTATAGATATATATTTGTTAGGCATAAATTGATCAGAAAATATACAAGTCATGGTTATATATCAATAGCTAATGCTATTGAACTATTTTTATTGAACTATTTTAGGAAAGAAAAACCTTTTAGATAAAGGTTTATGAAGATAATGCTCCACAAAAATTTAAAGTCTAGTGTAGGGAAACTCTTGCTTTTAACTGAAAAAAAAATGTATATTAAGTAATCTTTTATTCACACTTAACCCAACTTTGGTGGTTTTCACTCTCTTCAAAGTGATGTTTTTAATGTTCACTCACTAGTCCAAAGCATTTACTTTCTAATATGATAGTTACTCAGCACTTTTTTAAAAAATTATCAAATTAGTTGGATTTGGTTAGGATGTTCTGAGTATTGTCCTTAATAGTTAAGAGTTTCAAAGTTTCAATGACTTATAAGCAAATTTGGCATAGTGGTATTCAGAACTATTAATTTTCAACTAATTTTAATAAATCAATTTTATAATAAATGGAACTTGTCTATGAGATATACACTTAAAAGTGAATTTATGGTTTTAAAAGTTGTATCATATACTGGAAATATTTCAGTATCACAAACATTAATCATTAAAATGGCTTCAAGTCTAGCTAATAAATTAAAAGTTTCTAATACTAAAAAGCCACAAAGTCAATAGGTTTGTCATAACCACTTGCATGTTTCCCTGTCAAGGAGTGAATAGTCACCTAGAAGCCAAAACTAAGTTGAGAAAATTTTATACCATGCTATTGCTCAAAAAGAAGCAACACAGCTGAATGGTTGTAGGCCAGGCAACAATGAACAGTTCACAGAATCAGGAGCTCATGTGGAGTTTTATGTGAGGCTGGAAAACACTGGCATAGTTTGTGATGGGATCTTGTTTTATGCCTAGGAGATGATCCCATATTCTAAAGGGAAAGCACTGGAGCCAGGGTTGCCTGTACATATAGAGGACAGAAAACTGCAAAGCTGACTCAAGACTCCAGTAGATAGAGTTCTGCTCCCTAGCACAGCAACTGGGACCTATCAAAATTGGACTGGGGCCTTGGAATAGGATCCATGGGAAAGCTAATTGAACAGATCAGCTTGTGAAGGGATATTAGAAGCCTTCTGAAATAATTTTAAAGATAGCTTTTAAATTGATATATGTAGCATTTTATGCAAGGTGGTTTTATGAAGTATTTGAATAGCTATATTCTAGAAGAAGAGCTTGTCAGATATAAAGATGATTTAAAACAGAAGCACTTTAGTTCATAATGTAGTCTTTCCTTTCAATCTCTACATTTTATTGATCTTACTATAAAAAGAATGTTCCTATATAAATTTTAGTAATTAACATCATAAAACTGTATCTATACATCCATAGCAAAATGGATAATTGAGATAATTATTTAGATAATTTAGAACAAATAATACTTTGCCTGAAATCTCTGTATAATTGAGAATACAGATATATGTATATAGGTTTCTTGAATCACTTCTATGATTATCTTGTTTTTTCCACTCTGCTCTGAAGTATAGATGGCAGCCACTCAAATTAAAAGGTCTGGCCTAAGATTAAATGCAGATGTACTATGCAACTGTTATCATTCTGTTTGAATTGTGAGATGTTCCATCTTATTGTGCACATCATAAACCATGTTATTTCAGTTAATTTGCTGTTCTGTTTCCATGGTAATCATGGTTTGGAAGAATGGGGGAAAAGATTTATTTCAAGATAAGTAAAAATGGGAAACGTGTTGTATTTGTTTTTATGTGCTAATTTACAGATGCCTCACTTAACTTTTATTGCTATTTGTATGCATAGCTTTGAAAATGTTTGCATAATAAGAAACAAGCCTAGGTAGAATTGGTCTTTGGATAAGAACAGAGAAATATAATGTGGATTTTTTAAACTTTGAAGACTTTGAAAATGCTTAATACCTGTGGGAAATTTGGATGTTAGTAAAAATAAATAATTCCAAATTGGATAGATTTTTATATTTTCATGGTCTTTGATGATTAAATGTAAACCACATTATTATGGAATAGAGCAATTTAATCCTAAATAGCCCATATTGTTGGGACTCTTAAAATAAAATTTTTAGGGTAAACTGATTTGTTTCTTTGTTTTATTACTCATTTATCTGGTTAGCAGACCAAAATTTAAAATCTATTAGTATTTTTTCAGTCTCATCTTCTACCTGTATTTTGGCATAAACCATACTTTTCATACTATGTTTTTTATCAAAATTGTGGAGTTTAATATCAGGTGAACCTGGAAATGAGTCAAAGATTCAGAATCATCACTTCCTAGCAATTTAACCTGATTTTAAAATAAATGATTGTATAAAAAAATATAGTTTTTAATTTTACTTTCCTCTTTTGTAGATAATGTTCACTAGTTAGGATTATTTTGAAGATCAAATGTGTTTAAAATAAAAGCATCCAATCTTTATTGAGCATTTAGTATGTGTCAGGCATTGTGTTCTAAATGTTTTACATATATTAATCATCTAACTCTCATAGCAACCCTTTCTTATAAGTGATAAAATTAAAGTCACAGCAAGATAAAGCCATTTCCTCAAAAATACAAAACTAGTAAATGGAGGAGCTTGGGAAATATGTAAATTGAAAACATGCTATAAATTATTAAACCCTATTGAGATTAGAGTTATCATTATACAAAGACTTGTTTTAACATTAAAAATATATATAGTTCTATTAAGATAGCCAGCAAGGTCAAAGTAACAGAGAATAAAAAAAAGTGTGTCTGTTTAGAAATGTCAATGGCAGTTGTTGTTTGAGATTTCTCTCAAATAGCTTCAGTTATTTAAATGACCAAGAGATACAAAAGTAGAACACAGAGAGTAGAGCAATTCAGGTGACAAGGATAGCAGAATTAGGAATTATGTCTTTAGGAATTATTAGGTTTTCTGCATGATTATTAGTACTTCTAAGTCTTTTTTTTGACAAGCTCTCTACCACTGATTCCCATCCTCCTAACCCCAATCACAGTCTTTTATGTAAAGTAGAAATTGTTTTGTTATTCAGAAAAATTGTTTTCAAAGAAATACCCAGTTAATAAGCCTAAACATTTTGCTATGTTTTCCCCTAGCTGGACATCAGAATATTAAAATCCTTGACAATATAAACAAACATGTACCCTTGGTAGCAATAAGGACAACTATTCTTTCTCTTGTAGACTTAGCCAAGATCATGAACCAAATAGAAGTACCACGCCTCCAATGCCACCTTTGACATTTCGAACCAAAGAAATGGCAAGTCCTTTGGTTAGTGATGATGAAGTATTCCCATTGGTGAGTTGCTGGTTGCTGGATTTTTTTTTTCCTTTAAGGGGTGATTACTTTTGTACTGATACCCATATACTAATGTATGTAGTAGTTTAAAAAATGTCACTTCTTGAATAGACTCCAAGATGAGTATGTGAGTCACTCAGCCATACCTATCTATGGAAGGAAAAGAGACCCATAATATTTCATTGAGTATTTCAGTCAATGGTTTTTAACCTCTAGTGTAGAACAGAATTACTGGTGACGCGCTTTTAAAATGCAAGTGTTTGGAACTCATCCTCGATATTCTATGAGTCCTCAAAGATCTGTATATTTTAAGAACTGTAAGTGATCTTTTGTTCCTTTTAAAAAGCATATTTTTACAGACTCTGACACACTTGCAAATACATGTACCAATCATAAATGGGAAGCTTGAATCATGCAATGAAACATATTGATATAACTCTCCCAGGTAATACAGAGTATTATGAACTTCAGAAGCCCCACCTGTATCTCTTCCAAAATAACCACTATCCCGATTTTTAACATCATCAGTTTTGCCCATTTTTAAATTATCCAAGGGCATTTAACCAATGAGCCACATCCCTAGCTGTTTTTATTTTTTATTTTGAGACAGGGTCTCACTAGGTTGCTCACGCCTTACTAAGTTGCTAATGCTGGCTTCAAACCTTCAGTCCTCCTGCCTCAACTTCCTGAGCCACTGGGATTACAGTCATGTGACATGGCACTGGGCTGTATTCTTATGCCTGGCTTCTTTTGCTCAACATTGTTTCTGAGATTCAAAATCATTATCCATATTGTTTTATATAACTTTAGTTTATAGCTTTTTTTTTCTATATAAGGCCATTGTATATAAATACACAATGATGCTATAATTAATTCTGCATTCATTTGATGGGCATTTATTTCTAGTTTGGGGTTATTACAAATAATGCTGCTAAAACAATACCTTTTGGTGCACATGTGTACACATTTGTGTTGTTTCTATTGAAGATGCGTCTAGAATCATTAGATCATATGATATGGTTATGGTCAGCTATAGGAGACATTACCAGACTGTTTACTATTTGAACCAATGAATACCTCATAAAGTAGTATATGAGAACTTTCCTTGTTTGCCGCAGTCCGGCTGCAGCAAAATAACCAGCGGGTGACGAACAACTTGTGTACGTTGATACAGTAGGAGTGGGAGCCATTTATTGTAGGACCGGAGCGATATTTATACATTCCACACAGCTTATCTTAATTAGCATAAACTAGATACATCAGTCAACCAATAAGAAATCTCCACACTTAATGGCTCGCTGGCGTTACTTCACAAACCACTCCCTCTGGCATTTTGCCAGGCGCCATCCAGACTTGTTTACAGACTCTAACACTTGTTCTATATCTTTTCAAACACTTGCAGTTATTAGTCTTTTGTATTTGGACCATTATGGTCTCTGCAATAGTTAATACTGGATTGTTTTAATAAATATTTCTCTACTAAAAACGAGGTTGAGCATCTTGTTATATATTTACTGGTAATTTTTATATCTTCCTTTGTGGCATGTCTGTTAAATGTCCTTGCCCAATTTTCTTTTGGATTATCTTTATTCTTGTTGGTTAGTAGGATTTTTTTAAACATATTCTGAATATAAGTCCTTTATTGGTCATATATATTGCAAATACCTTCTTCTACTCTTATATGCCTCTTCTATTTTGATGAGCAGAAGTCCTAATTTTAATATACTCAAATTTATGAATCTTGTCCTTTGTAGTTAATATATTTGATAGTTTATTTTTCATTTTCTGAAGATTCCTATTTAAACCTGTCAGAAGGTTATAAAATAGTGTTATCTTTTAGAAACTTTATTTATGTTTCAAATTTAGATAAATAATCTAACTGTAATTAATTTTTGCATATGATGCAAAGGAAATTCTCAGCCTCTTTTTCTTTTGGAAATGTTCAATTAACCCTAAAAACTTATTCCAGTCCTGTCAATTCTTTTGGATTTTCTATATTCACTCAAAATAATGCCAGTTTTATACATTTTTTCCTTTTCCTTCCCTTATTGTACTGACTTGTATCTCCAATAAATATTGAGAAATGATATTACCAACATCCTTTACCTGTGCCTCATTACAAGAAGAAAGCTCTCAACATTTCACCATTGTGTATGACATTTCTTGTAGATATGTGGTAGATCCCTTTTAAACGATTAGGGAAATTCCCTTTTATTCCTGTATTGCTTTTTCACGATACAAGATTTTATCAAATGCCTTTTTTCTACCTCTGTTAAAATGAACATAGAATTTTTCTCCTTTGCTATGAAAATATAATATTTTATTATATTATATTTTATCTTGATTTTAGATTAATCCAGATTTGTGTTCTTGGAATAAACCTAACTCAATCACTAAATTTGGTCTCTTAATATTTGGTTTAGAATTTTTATTTGGTGTTCACAAGACAGATTGACCTGTAATTTCCTTTGTTGTCCTGATCAGATTCAAGTGTCATATTATGCTGACCTCATAAAGCAAGTGGGAGGGAAGTGTTCTTAATTTTAGTTTTAACATTTTTCATGGTTCTTGAATTTATTTGATACTTTTTTATAGTTTACAATTCTCCACTGAAATTTTTATACTTTTTGTTTTAATATATGTACATAAAGTATTGAAATAATAGTACTTTTAGCAATCACCTTCCCTTGTATTCAAAGTATATTATGTAAATGTTGAGTTCTCTCCATGATATCCTAATATAGCATACAAATTACAAAAAAATTAATATACAACAGAAAATATTTAAATTGAATAGGGTGTGCCATGAGTATTTTTCAATTTTTTTTTTGGAACATGTCACCTCATATTGGTAGAGACTGGAAGTGAGAGTTAAGCAATTATAGTAGAAAGAGAAGGCTTTAAACTATTCACTTTTGAAGATTTAGAGATTTCTAAAGCCTCATGTTCATAAAAACATAAAATGTCAACTTTTAAAACAGAATAGACTTTCATACTAATAAACTAAACAAAGTTCCTTACTTATTATGGGAATCTCTAAGGAAACTTTGTAATATCTATACCAACAAAAACTTTGATTTTTTTTTTTTGTTGTTTGTGTGTGTGTGTGTGTATGTATGTGTGAGTGTGTGGTGCTAGGGATTAAACCCAGGGTCTTGTGCAAAAACTTTGATCTTTAATGACTTAAAGAAATCTTGTATCTGGTCCAGCAATAGGGGGGAAAAGTAATAAGCTGATAACTACTTCATTATTCTAATATCCAGTGAGTTTATTTAGGATTTGAAGATCATCAGTTTTCTGCACAGTGGGTTCCTTTACCACTAAGCAGGACTCAACGTCAGCATATCCATCAGTCTATGAGCTCTCAGATAGTGGTGCTGACAAAGGCAAAAGGCAGACTCATAGAATGCACATTAGTTTTGGTAAGGATAAAACATTGCTCTTTCCAAGGTGTAAGGGACTTGATGTGATCAAGTTGCCACCAAGAGGCAGGTTGGTCCCCTTAAAGAGTACTGCATCTCAGGAGCTCAGCTGCATTTTCTACTATGAGCAGATTCAGATGTTCAACAGCAACAGAAGTTAGGTGACTCTTGGTGAAAGGGAAACCTTACTGTTGGACCAATAAATGATTTTCATTGGAGTGGCCAAGGACAAAATAAGATCAAGCCATCCTGTCCACTTGCTAGTGCTCTATCTCAGTCACAACTTAATAGAATGGCAGGAACAACTTTTCCCCTGAAACTTACCAGACTCCATATGGCATTTTTTCTACTAGAGATTTTTTTTCTATTATGGGAACTGCCAAGACACAAGTAGAGGATTTCTGTACACTATGCTGAAACTATTGTTGAGCTCTTTCTTGTTCTAGGAGTGCTCAAAAAACAAGAACCGGACTTCTGTGTCACTCAATAAATGGGTCAGATTATTCCACCCGAAAGTAGAGCGTTTTCACAATGGATTCACTTGTACTTTACTTAAATGTCCTGACATGCCCCATACTGCTAGACACCTAAAAACAATGTCATGGCCTTGAATTTTTTATTGGATTTATCTTTCACCATCTGGAGTATACATGTCTTTGACAAACTTGCCACTTCTTGCTTATTAGGCCTCATTCATATGATGTTAGTGTTAATATCATATGTTGTATGTGATAGTCTTTGGTATGGTCCAGATGGTCCAAGTCCCTTCAGAATTTACTGTGACAACATCATTAACATAGTTTGGGCAAAGGCCATGGACGTATACTGTTGTCTATCCCATGCAAATGCTGATTGCTTCTGATCCTCCTTTAAATTTGATATTAGAAAGAATTCATTTGCCAGATCAACAGCAGCCTTGTACCCAAGGCTGTGATGTGCTGCTCTAGTAAAGATACTGTACTAGCAGTTATAATTGTGACAGCCACTTGGATAATTTTTTAGGACTCCACTACCATCTGCAAAGGTCCCTAGTTTTGGCAGGGGCCATATTGATAAACTAAATCCCCTTATAAAAAGGTTCAACTCCATACAGATTGTTGACTCTTCAGACACTTTCATAAAATCTCATTCTTCCTAATAAAATAAAAACTAAGACCAGTGAAGGAACCACAGGATTGGAAAATTAAAGTTCAAATTTCTCCAACTTTTTTTTAATAATGAAGGATTGTAAAAAGTATCTAATATTGTCCTTTATTTAATAAACAGATTTTTTTCTCTTTTATGTAAATAAGCACTAAACAAATCACAAACACCTAAATAGCATTTCCACATTAATAAGAAACATGGAATTGGGGCATCTCAACTGTAATAGAACAGATAAGATGCATTTCAGCACTATGGCCTTCCCTAACATGGGACCACTCTTACCCCTGAGATATGCCATGCAGCCAGACGTCCCAAGTATCAGTTGGTTCCTGTGTTATACTAATCCTTTTTATTTTTCTACATAAACCTTTAATCCAGTTCTGTTATAATCTTCAGGTTTTTGGAGTTGCCTATTTTCAGATGGGAATCACTGGCTTTACAAATGAGTAGAACAAGTTTTAAGCAGTTCCCTGGTGATTACATTGCCCCTGCATTTGCAATTGGCCACTTTAACATTTCTAGAGCTTTTAAGGTAATGGTACTGTGATGTGTGTCCTAGTTCCATGAGGATTCATGAATGGTGACGATGTTACACTGGTAGGATTTTAGCCCAACATGAATTATTTCATTACCCACTGCAGCATTTGACAACATGTCAGATATGGAGCATGCCTAGAAAAATGAAGATTTTAAATGGCTCTGTATTCCTCATCTCACTTTTCTTTCTTTCTCTCCTTAGTCTCCCCCAGATATCTCCTTCCCTGCTTCTTTGGCTGCACAGCATTTCCTTATGGAAGAAGAGAAGCGAGCAAAAGAACTTGAAAAGCTTCTAAATACACATATTGATGAACTGCAAAGACATACAGAATTTACTCTTAATAAATACACCAAACTAAAACAAAATAGACATATATGAGCTTTTAAACTTTTTTATTTGCTCCCCAACCCCAAGAAAAAAAAGCTCTGGCAAAATATTTACAAAGCTGAGTACTGGAGCTAAGAAATTTTGTTCTATTTTCTTGAGTAAATAATTTCTGTAAGGCAGCTAGAAAATAGCATTTTGTTTGATAAAGCTGTTTGTATTTCTGAATTAACATACTAAATTGTTCTGCTATAGAATTGCTATAAAATAAACATGACTACTCCAAAAGAGAATTTTTTTCTAGTCTGAGGAATAGTTTGGAGTTAAAAATTCAATTTTTCCCACCTGAATCATGTATACTAAAAACCCATTTCCTCTTTAACAACATAAAATGAGAGAAAAGGAAGTGCTATATTTCAAATATCAATGAATCAAGTGCAGCTCAGTTGTACTAGGTGTGAACTCAAGGATTTTTTTTAAATGAAAAAAATATGTAAATATTTTGAACTATGTAAACATCGTAAGACTTCTTTTAGGGAAAAAAAAAAGATATAGCTGTATTGTTTTTACACTTACCTTTGTAATGTCTGGTTTAATACCATAAAGGACATAGAATGTGCAGTATACACACTTAAAATATGTGTCAGAGATCAATGCTTTCCTGTTACTTCATAAACATGAATAAGAAAAAAAACAAATATAAATCAATACTGTTTCTACATTCTCCTTTGTAATCACCTGTTTTTAATTAATAAAGAAATTCAAATTCAGTGGACTTAAAACACAAATGCCAAGTTTATACTGGACAGTAATAGCATGGTAGTGAACAATAAAATATACAAGAATGATAATCCAATATTCTATTTTTTCTTAAAAAATGGGTTATATTATCTGTTCTAGCTCATCTTTCTATATCCTACTATAATAGAAAGAAAATTCAAGTTAAGTCCTACAGCTTTTATGGTTTTCCTTCTTTTCAAAGAAACAATCTCAACATACTGAATGAGAAGTCAAAATGTCCATAGATAACAAATGTCATTTTCATGTTAAAAATGCAGAGCATTATTCACTTTAGGTGACATGACCACGTGTATTTGTATAGCTCTTGGTGTTTGAAACAGTCTCCTTAGTTCAGGCTGCTATAACAAAAACACTACAGGCTGTCTGTGGCTTAAACAACAAATATTTATTTCTCATAGCTCTGGAGGCTGTGAAGTTCAAGGTCAAGGTCCCAGATGAGCTGATGTCCGGTGAGAGCCCAGTTTCTTTCTTAGGGACAGCCACTCATTTGCTATAATCTCACATGATGGAGGAAAAAAATCATCTCTTTCATGTCTCCTCTTTTTTTTTAATATGCCCTTTAAAAAATACCTTTATTTCATTTACTTTATTTTTATGTGGTGCCAGGGATTGAACTCAGTGCCTCATGAATGCTAGGCAAGCGTTCTATCACTAAGCCACAACCCCAGCCCTCATGTCTCTTCTTATAAGAGCACTAATCCATTCTATTCATGGGGTGCCACCCTTCATGAACTAACTAGTTCCTAAAGGCCCCATTCCCTAATACCATCACATCAAAGGTTAGTATTTAACACACGAATTTGAGGGGACACCAACACTGGGCCCATAAAACTTCATATAGCATCTTTCATTTAAATTTAAAACAAGCCTGTGGAGTCAATAGGGCTATTATCCTTGCCCCTGTGAACCAGAACTATTAAGTACTTGCGATCATGGTAAGAAAGAAGCTCAGAAAGGAAATGCTGGCTTTCTGGTTCCTGACCCTAGCTCTATTACTTGTCAGTACTACTACTTATAAACAAGCATCGGTGAACAAAGCTATGTACACAAAGCCAGGTTTGATGACAAAATCTCAGGGATACAAATTCACTAATATTCCCATTAAAACCCCACATGAGGAAAAGAATGGGATCTTGTAGTACTTTTAAATAATTTAGTAATTTCTTCCAGTCTGGATGTAAAGAAAACCAAACATTTTTCAATGTCATCTTAAGAAGATGAGAAGAAAAAGTATATTTAGGAAAGCAGCATTCCTTTAACAAATGATATAATTTTTGTTTCTCTCATGCAAACTGAAACAATGAAAAAGTGCAAAATCTTCTATATCTAAGCAGTCTCTTCAGGATAAAGGGGTGGCTGAAAATTCTGAAATAAAGTTCTAGGCTACAGAAGTCTTAGAAGTTAGCAGGGTCAAGACAGCACGAATGTGGAGTGTGCTCAGGACTAATGTTGAGTTTGCCCTTGTGGATTATTACATGAAGACCAAAGGAAAACTTGTTTTAAGTCACCAGTTCAACATTCCACTCAATACCTGCTTTCTTAAAACAGTGGTTTGCATGATTTTTGCTTCAACAGTAAGATTCAGTGTTCAACAGTAAGATTCAAGTTATGTATATGTTGGACTATGCCCTAGTCCAACATATACATAACCAAGATCAAAAACAAGGACTTCTAGTTGTGCTTTAAAAACAGGAAGAGAGTGGGGCTCCCTGCTATTTATCCCTGCCCTTCTTAGCTCTTCTAGCCTCCTGCCCTCCGTATGCCAAAGGGATTCCATGGATGCTATCATGGAAGGGACTAACAGGGATACCGTCATTGCCTTACACAGAACACATTTTCCCACAGAAACCATTTCATGGATAATGTTACAACTCCCCACATACTTCAAAAGCCAAGTCAGCCTGTTTTCAAAGAGGGAAGGCTTCAGCAAGGCAACACACAGAACTAAGGAGATTCTGAGAGCTACCAACTGATTCCAGGGCCAGACCAGTAATGTTTAGGTCTTTAAGGCTATCAGTACCACAGGTTAGATGTGTTGGAGACAGGCTTCCCATGCCGTGCCCCTGTGACCTTAATAGAGTTTCCATATCCTCATCTTTAAATAGGAATACCACTATCCATGTCAGAGGTTTAGGAGGATGAAAGGCCATAGTATGCACAGAGTGCCTCGTGTTCAGTGCAGGCCGACTGTGAGCACGTGTCCGCCGGATTCCTTCTGAAGCATTAGGTCTGAGCCCAGAAGATATAAATGTCCTTAAAGAATACTATCATTTTTTGAGGACAATATGCCACTACATGTTAAACTTCTTTACTCATTAACAGTGTTATTTAGAACTATTTTACATATTATAAAATTCACCCATTTCAAGGGTACAATTTAATGATTTTTACTAAGTTTAAAGAGTTGTGTAATCATTGCCACAAATCACTTTTACAGTGTTCCCATCACCCCCAAAAGATCTCTAGGGCCCATTTTCAGTCTCACTATTCCCACGCCCAAACCCAGGCAGCCACTGAACTACTATAGAAATTTACTGGACGTTTCATGTAAATGGATTCATATGATAGGTGGCTTTTTATATTTGGCTTCTCTCACCATAATGTTTTTGTGGTTCATATATTATAGCAGTATTTTGTTCTTATTGTTCTATAGTATTCCACTGCATGAATAAACCACATTTCTTTTATCCATTTCAACAGCTGATGGACTTTGTTTTCAGTTCAGGCATATTACAAATAAAACTGCTTTGGACATTGACATACAAATTTCTGTATAAATGTATGTTTTCATTTCTATTGAATAGTTTCCTTGAAATGGAATTTGAGTCACATGGTATATTCATGCTTAAGTTTCGTAAGAAAACTATCCAACTCTTTCTAAAGTAGCTGCACCATTTATGTTCCCACCAGCAATGGTAAGAGTTCCAGTTTCTCCAAATCCTCTTCCACACTTGTTAGTCTTCCCCCTTTGCTTACAATACTGGGGTTGGACCTCAGGACACTTTACCACTGAGCCATACCCGCAATCCTTTTTAGTCTTTATTTCAAAACAGGGTCTTGCTAAGTTGCAGAGACTGGCCTCAAACTTGCCATTCCCCCTGCCTGAACCTCCCAAGTGACTGGATTACAGGTGCTCACCACCACACCCAGCTTGAATTTTTTTTTTACTATAGCTATTTCAGTGTGTGTGTGTGTGTGTGTGTGTGTGTGTGCAGTGGTATTTCATCCCAATCTTAACTTGCATTTCTCAAATGACTAATGATGTTGAGTATCTTTTTGTGTGGTTTTTGACCATTCACATATATTCTCTGGTGAAACATCCATTAAAATCTTTTGCCCATTTTATAATTGAATACTCTTTTCAACTTGAAGAATTTTTCATATAAACTTATTTTTTCATAAAACTTTCATATAAAAGTTCTTTATTGGATATATTATTTAATATAATTTCTCCCAGTTTGTGGCTTCTTTCAATTTCTTAATTGTCTTTTGAAGCACATACATTTTTAATTTTGATGAAATGCAATTCATCAATATTTTTCTTTTATGGATTATGCTTTTGGCTTCATATCTAAGAAATATTTGTCTGACCAAAGGTTATGAAGATTTTACCATTTATTTTCTTCTAAAACGTTTTTAGTTCTAGGTTTTAAACTAGGTCTATAACCGTTTTTACTTAATGCTTTTGTGGGGTATAAACATCTGGATTCAACTTTTTAATCATCTCAGCACCATCTGCTGAAAAAAAAAAACAAACTTTTTTTTCCTTCTTTGAATTGTCTTGTCATCTTTGTTGAAAATCAAGTTTAAGAATATTTATTTTTACACTCATATCTTCTCCATTGATTTATGTTATTCTTTATCCATTGCCACACAATCTTAATTACCATAGCTTTATAGTAAGTTCTGATATTGAGAAATGAAAATCCTCCATATTTCAAGATGATTTGGTTATTTTGGGTTTTTGGATGCTTTGCATTTTGATGTAAGATTTAGGGTCAGTTTATTAGCCTGTCGGGGTTTTTTTGCAAAAAAAAAAATAAAAAATTGCCTGCTGGGATTTTTGATGGGGATTAATTATTTCCAAAGTGATCTATAGTGAATCTCAATTTGGGGTTAGTTGCCATATCAACAATATTGTCTTTGAATCTGTAAATTTCTGTATTAATTCAGATTTTTAAATTTTTCTTAGAAATGTTTTATGCTCTTCAAGTTACAAGTCTTATGTTTCTTTTGTTAAATTTATTGCTGAGTATTTTATTCTATCTAGTGCTATTACAAATGGAATTAATTTCAAAACAGTAGATTTTTGTATATTGGTCTTATATTCTGTGATCTTGCTAAGCTCATTTATTTTAGTAGGTATGTGTGTATATGTCTGTCTCTGTGTTCTTTAGAATTGTCTACATATTGGATCATGTTCTCTTTAAATAAAGACAGGGTTTTCTTTTTTCATTTGTGGGTACATTGTATTTCTTTTTCACACCTGATTGCACTAGCTAGAAACAATATTACAATGTTAAAAGGAATGGTGAGAAGTGTTTGCCATGTTCCTGATCTTAAAAGGAAGATTTTAATCCTTTACTTAAGTATGATATTAATTATAGATTTTTTTGAAGATGCTTTTTGCCAGGTTGAGGAAGTTCCCACCTATTCCTAGTTTGTTGAAAATTTTTATGATTGGGTGTTAAATGCCTTTGTCTAATGCTTTTTTTTTTTGCATCTATCAAGAATTTGTCTTTATGAATATGGTATTTATATTAACTTTTAAAAATGACAAAGCTATCTTGCATTCTTGGGGATAAATCTTACTTGACCATTTCATCAATCCATTTTCTGTCACTATAACAAAATACCTGAAGCTGAATACATTATACAGAAAATACTTTATTCAACCTATGGTTTGGAGAATTCAAAAGCATGATGCCCACATCTGCTTGGCTCTCCTGAGGGCCCCTTTGGGTGTTGC